GGTCTGAAAGTCACTGGGCAAACAGGAAGCAATGCCCCATTGGGCAGCGGGAGCATAGTCAGAATGCAGGAAAGCCTCAGCCAGCATATGGGTGCACGGGCATGCAGAGAGAGTAGGGTCCCCAGTGCATAGGCCAGGCCACAGCCAGTGGCCAGGGACATGGTCATGCAGAGAAACTGGAAGTGGAGGTGAGGCAGGAGGCCTGGAGTGTACCGTATTCCTGTCGGGAGGGCTGTGTGTTGGAAGGGCCCTGGAATACAAATTTGATAAGGGCAGGGGAACAGGAATCAGGACACTGACGCGGGCCAGAGCCGGAGCATGGTGTCCACGTTGAGATAATAGTAGGAAAGTGATCATCAGGCCAGGCTGGAGCTGTGAGTGTATCAGGGACAGTGCACCACCGGACATTCTCAACACTCACGCAAACTGGAAACAGCAGGAGAGCTTCTCCCACTTGCAACCTACCTGTAGCGCCCTCTACTGAGAAGGCTCAACATGTGTTTACTGTAAAGGAAAAACGCCTAATGGAATTCTATACATTATCACTGAGCATATATTGAAGATGAATGTGGAGTTGATGGGCAATACATGAATAACTGGCATAGACCACTTCCTTGGTTACTCAGCTTCCATATGCAACCCCCCACTGCCTCCTCCCACACATCTGAACTCCATTGCAGCAGCGAAACAACTCTATATTTCTACTTGCCAAGATTCCCCAATCCTTCTTTTAAGTGAAGTTCCCACTATCCCCCAAATTATATGACTCAGATTCTCAAGTCATTACATCTATCATGGGATCTGTTAAGTATTCTTCAAATTCTATCAGGTTCCCATTGAATGTCCTGTTACCTAAAGACAAGTAAAATTAACCTCTAGTAAAATTATACATAAAATTAAAAATAGAAACCAAGATAGGAAAAAAAAAAAAAAAGAACAAGTGAACATATACAAACAAATGCATGCACAGAATAAACCTAGAGGAAATATGCAAAGCAACTAAAGTTCTTGTTTCTGTAATTGGCCTCAAGGTCTGAATTCTTCAATTGCCAATACAATTTTCTCTCACCCTCAGCCAAAACCTCAGAACCTTTGAGTGTTTTACCTGGTGGAACAGCCCAAATTTTCAGTCCCCAAGGGTCACTCGAACCAGCCTGGTTTTGTTGGGGTGGTGGTGGTAGTTTTCCATTAACTTTTTTCATCAGGCATGTGTGGTAGGCAGAATAATGGCACCGTAAAGATGTCCACATACTAATCCTTAAAAACCATGACTATGTTATGTTACAAGACAAGAGGGAATTAAAATAGGGAGATTATCTTGGTGGTCCCAGTCTAATCCCAATGGTTGTTTTAAAAAGTGGAAGAGGAGGGCAGAAAAAGGAGAATCAAACATGGCACTGTGAGGACTCAACCCAACACTGCTGACTTTGAAGACAGAGGACTGAGGCCATGATGCAAAGGAATGTAGACAGCCTCTAGAAGCTGCAAAAAATAAGGAAACAGTTTGTGCCCTTAGAGCATCCAGAAGGATTGCAGCCTTGCTGGCACCTTGGTTTTAGCCCAGTGATAGCCAAACTCCTGACCTCCAGAACAGTAGGATAATAAAATTGAGCTGTTTTAAGCTATGAAGTGGTGTAATCTGTCACAAAAGCAATAGAAAACAGTGTGTCAAGTTTTTTGTCTCCATGGATCACCTGGAAAGCTGATCCATAAATTAGAAAACCCATTTACAACCACAATAAATAATACCCACTGAGTCACTCAAGAATTATTTTAGTCTTTTATTTGAAGTAACAATATAACATTAAGATAACATACAACTACTCGTTGTGTACTCAGAATTTCCTCACAGGGCAGTGATGGATTCCACTGAAGATCTTCCCTGTTGTGGATACCCCTACCCTCTTCACCTTTCAATTTTCCCTGCAAATTGGAAGTGCTACGTGCTGAAGGGCAGCATGTGCAGGATGTAAACGCCATACTGAAAATTTTTTAATCTCTTAAATTACTAGCATCTTCATACTCCTTTCAAAACAAAATAACTTTTCCTCACTCTTACCAAAACTTCTGTTCTGATGGCTATATAACTGGACTCAGAATGAACTATTCTGAGGTCAAAACCTTGAACTTTAGAAACCAAACTGTCACTCCCCTCCTCTAAATGCAACTCTTGCCTTGTCCTTCAGCTGCTCCAGCTGCTGACTAATTCAGTGACTAATTCAGTCAAGGACACTCTCCCCTATACACCTCAGCAATCTTCAGGTCTCATTCAGACCTCCTTCTAGATACACTGTGTTCTAAACAATAAAATCTCCAAGCTTTGGAATCTAGTCTAAGATGGCATTAACTTCCCCACACTACTAAATTTTAATTCCCTTCTTTAAAGGCCTCTAGAATTAAGAGCATCAACAAACTCTAGGATAAATATGAAGGGACTTCGAATAGTGCATGGTAAAGTGGAATTAAAAGATAACATAAATTGGGCCAAGCCAGTGGCACACTCGGGAGAGTGTGGTGCTGGGAGCGCAGCAGCGCTCCCGCTGCAGGTTCGGATCCTATATAGGGATGGCCGGTGCGCTGGCTGAGCGCGGTGCGACCGGTCTCAAAAAGGACCAAAAAAAAGGTAACACAAATCTTTCCATGAACTTTTTCATGTAATGTGAGAAAGCCTCTTAGTACAAGTCATTTGTTCATAACAAAGGTGCAAGACAGTACAGATTCACTACCTCAAAGGCAGGAAAAGTTTATGTTACAGAGATGGCACATGCCTGATATCAGAATTATTAAATCCGCAAATTACACAAAGCTCCAACGGAATATGACCACCACAAGATCCATGTGGCTTTCCCCAAAAGCAGACCATCCCCATACAGGATTGTTTTTTTGGTGGCTGGCCAGTACAGGGATCAAATCCTGGACCTTGGTGTTATCAGCACCATGCTCTAACCAGCTGAGCTAACCAGCCAGCCACCCGCCATACAGATGTTTTGATGTATCAAATCAGTAACAAGTAAGGCTTTCAAATCCTACAAATCTGCTTTAAAGCATGTATTGTTTACTCATCGTAGGAATAAGGCCACCACGCTATAAGGTACAGGGATGTAAATGAAATTTGGAATTAATCTTGAAATGTTGAAAGCACAGAACTGTTCAAGGTTTCATTGATAAAGTCTTAGTAAACAAAGTTCATTTGAGGCAGTACAAGTGCCCTCTAACAAAACCAAAATGGCAAAGTGGGTCACACCACCAAGGGACAACAGCTTCCTGATGCACAAATAGGAAAAGTGTGCCAATTTATTGAGGGCAAATCAACTTCTCCATCCTCAAAATTTAAAGTCTGGGGGTATACAGCTCCTTTGGCATCAAGGAAAAAGAGTTTAGCATGCAGTATGGAGATGTGACCTCACCTATATATGCCTATATATATATGCCCAAGAGGATTCAAAAGTTAGCAGCCTCATTTAATGTGTATTGCCAGAAACCCAGCAACTATTTTTTCTCACCAAATCGATGAGTATGATCAGAAGAGTAATTTTAATGGGTTTTGATTCTAATAAGATCACAAGGGAAAGGCATACATAAATATAAGAAACAAAAAAATGAAATCAAAACCTTTTACAAAATAAGCAATTCAAATTTACAACAGCAAAATGTACCAAGATACTCCACGCACTATAGTAGTGGTTCTCAAATTTATCAAGTATCAGAATTTCCATCATATTGCTGTTCTCCACCCCGAGGTTCTGAATCAGTAGTTCTACAGTGGAACCTGTTGCATTTCTACCAAGTTCCCCCATGCTCTTGATGCTGCTGGTTTGAGGAGCACACTTTTAAAACCACTGCATTAGAAGATGGATGGGGGCCAGCCTGGTGGCGCACTGCTACAGTGCGCCGCTTGGGAGCGCGGCGGCGCTCCCGCCGAGGGTTCGGATCCCACATACAGACCGGCCGCTCACTGGCTGAGCGAGGTGCGGGCTCAACACTGAGGGTTGCGATCCGTTGCCGGTCACAAAAAAAGACAAAAAGGAAAAAAAATAAAAATAAATAAATAAAAAAAATAGAAGATGGAAAGCACGGGCCAGCCCGGTGGCTCACTGGAGAAGTGCGCCGCTTGGGAGCGCGGCGGCGCTCCCGCCGAGGGTTCGGATCCCACATACAGACCGGCCGCTCACTGGCTGAGCGAGGTGCGGGCTCAACACTGAGGGTTGCGATCCGTTGCCGGTCACAAAAAAAGACAAAAAGGAAAAAAAATAAAAATAAATAAATAAAAAAAATAGAAGATGGAAAGCACGGGCCAGCCCGGTGGCTCACTGGAGAAGTGCGCCGCTTGGGAGCGCGGCGGCGCTCCCGCCGAGGGTTCGGATCCCACATACAGACCGGCCGCTCACTGGCTGAGCGAGGTGCGGGCTCAACACTGAGGGTTGCGATCCGTTGCCGGTCACAAAAAAAGACAAAAAGGAAAAAAAATAAAAATAAATAAATAAAAAAAATAGAAGATGGAAAGCACGGGCCAGCCCGGTGGCTCACTGGAGAAGTGCGCCGCTTGGGAGCGCGGCGGCGCTCCCGCCGAGGGTTCGGATCCCACATACAGACCGGCCGCTCACTGGCTGAGCGAGGTGCGGGCTCAACACTGAGGGTTGCGATCCGTTGCCGGTCACAAAAAAAGACAAAAAGGAAAAAAAATAAAAATAAAAATAAAAATAAAAATAAAAATAAAAATAAAAATAAAAATAAAAATAAATAAATAAAAAAAATAGAAGATGGAAAGCACAATTCCAGTCTTGTAGGAGGGAAGGATGCTCATCAGCCAGAGCTGTGGGATTGAGGTGCCTGTGTCAGGGTTATGATGGACAATTCCCCATAAGTGTTTCTGTTTCAATTTTGATCCTGGGCTAACTGCCTTTTCATCTCTGGATAGAGTTTAGAGTTTTCCTTCCATGGAGGAAGTAGCTGTGAGTGAGGCAGTCAAACAGATCTGTGCAATGAGGAGTCGGCTCCTCTTATTTCTCCTGAGGGGTATTCCCCAACTCAGTGCTATGAAGCTGGGAGTTCTTCCCCCTTTCCAACAATTCTTCAAAGATCCCATCATGCATGTAAAAGAAGAGGTACCCGGAGCAAAGGCTATCCTGCTGCATCAGGGCCTCTCGGATACCTGAAACGACCAGATCATTGTAGTGAAACCAAGCCTGCTTCTCAAAATTGTAGGCATTGCTGACATAATGGCCTGAATCTGGGGTGTCTCCAAGATGGCTGATAACACCGATGAGCCGATAGGTATGAAGATCTTCCTTATCAGCACTTTTTTTTGGTTGCTTGGCATTGGATTCTGTCTTCTTGTTACCTAAAATATCTTTGTTTCCAGGGTTCTTATTGGAACCAAATGCAAGTAGGGAATTCACATTAGCCTCCTGGACACTTAATTCTGTAGGTCTTCCGAGGTTCTCTGTGTTCCCCTGGCTATCTGGCTTTGGAAGACTTCGAGGCAGTGCATGCCGAGGGGCTTGTTTACAGATTCTCATCCCTTTACACTGCTGGATCTGTTCAGCCACATTTCGTAACTTTTCTACAATTCTGTTGTCTTTATCCTTGTAAAAATCTTCAGTAGGTTCAATGACACTGTCAGAATCTGTCTTATATTTCTCTAGTTTGGAATTTTCAGGCACTTCTTGAGGATGAATTTCTGCAACACTTGTGTCTGGCCTGCTGTTGGGTTTATCTCCATCTTTGTGAATCAGAGAAAGGGAGGTGTCTTCCAGATTCATCCCTGAGCCAGCTAGTAGCTCTTTTACAATGAGTGCCCAATCTCCTAAATGAATAGAGTCAGAACGCAAATTTGACTCTCTATCATTCCGTTTAGAATATTTTTCCAGGTCTTTCTGCTGCTCTTCTCTGCTTGCCCCTTTAAAGAATCTCTGGCATTGTGGTTGAGACTTTTTGTCTGAGCCAATGTGTTGAGCCAGAGAATCCTTGGATTCCAAGGTCAACTTTGTTGAAGATGTCAATGAGCTGATGACGCCACATATCATGTTTTGAAAAAAATGTACTACTTTGATATCCCTAATACAAACATTCTTGCTCAGGGGAATAGGTGGTTTGGTGTTTTCACTGCAATGAGAAGACAGCTTTAAATATTTGGAAATAATGACTTGCTGATCATCCTTCTTTAATGACCAATTCTCATTCAAGCTATAGCGTTTTAGATGAAGAATAAGGACTCTGGGTAGCCTAGTGAATTTGTGCACTGCAACAGAACTCTTGTGTTTACATTTCTTACAATTATATTCAAGCTCTTCTGCTTTGAAGAAGAAATCAAAAGTAGATTGAACAGACAAAGGAAGTGCTTTTGCTCCTTGGGGAAGGTTGAGAGAGAGGGAATTATTCAGTTCTGTCTTGAGAACAGCCTGGCCACAACCTTTACAAATAATAGTGAGCAACAACTCAAACTCAAAATTACTGGTGACAGGACAAATGAGCACTTTGGTGGCAGCATTACCAGCAAAACCCTGTTGAGGCGAATTTTCTTCCGAAGATTCACTTTTAGTCTTCCAAATTATGTTCAATTTTCTCATGTTCTCTTTCATCTGATCTAAACAGTGACTTAGAAACTCATGAGCATCATTCTGTATGTTGTCAGAGAATATATCTGCAACTGCTGAAATTGCAGCTTTAATACTCACAAGTATCTCTCTCTTGATTTTTATGTCATAAATATCTCTCAAAAGCAGCAGCTGTATCAAGCACATGGTAAGATTATCACGGGAAAGTTCACCCCATGGGAAATTATGATTGAGTAAATCATCAGTAAACGATGGAATCGAAAATAGGGATTGTAAGACTGCATTCATGTAACAGGTGTTTCCCAAGTTGGGGAGGCCTTGCCATAGACTCCCTGAGTAAAAGCCAAAGGAAGTCTCAAATTTTTGCCACTCTGGGTAATCCTTACTATACTTTTGTTTCAACAGAAATGCCAAAAATATTTTCTGAGTGAGACTTCGGAGAAGACCAGTGCCACCAAGGGAAGGGTTTCCAGTAGAGTTGCAAACAGATATTGATGATTCTGATGTAAACAAAGTCATCTCATGAAGGACAGGCATTCCACTTCCTTTTGTTGTCTCAAAGGATCCATTACTTGATTTCTTACAAACTTCATCAAATGAAGTTTTGTTGTTTACCTTCTGTGTTGCTGAGCTGGCAAAGACATCCCCATCCTCACCAGGTCCCATGGGTGGATGAAGCTTGTTTTGATGGACTCTGTCAAGAAATATCTTCAACTGTTTGGCATCTGTGGATAATAATCTTTCAATAAACAAGCAGGTATTATTTTTTAAAGTTAAAAGCAGGAAATTTTGGTTTTCTCCATACGATGCATGGACCACACTTCTAATATTATTACTTAGCTGAAATGTTTTAAATTCATCAGTGCCGAAATGGAGCACCAGGTAAACTTTCCTCTTTCTTTCCACTGTTTCAATAAATGCTTCTTTTGTCATAGCCATCCCAGTCTCCATGCTCCATGTTTGGACAAAACCATGTACCAGTAGGGCAACCATACTTTCCTTACAAACAAAATGTATGTATCCCGGATTATTAACAGTCTTAAAGTTTCAACCTATTTTGCAAGTTCACCTCTAGAGACAATGTCAAATAAATAGTTCTTTAGTTCTCTATACAGAATGATGCCGTTTGTAGTGTTGGTTTTCTACTAGAGTCTTCAGTGCCTGGATATTTAGCTCTTCAGTGATGAAATCAGTGCCTATTGAGAGCCATTAATGGTTGCATGAGGGCACAGAGTCTTGATTCCCAAGGCAAGACCACTGTGGGAAAAATCAAGAAAAGTTATTTAAACTATAACAAAAATACTTGGATAAAACTCAGTCACTATGCCCATCCACCAAAATATCGGATTCCATTCTGATTAATCTACCCACATCAACTGAAATCATGAAACACTTGGCAGACTTTCAATACATAGCCAAAAAGCATAGAGAACAGCTTCCCAAGTGTATGAATGCTGTATGCTAATCTTCCTGTCACAGAACGACCTGAAAGGGCAACCACAGTAAGGAAGCAAGAAACTGGAGGCACTATGTGGCCCTCGACCCCATAACACATGAACATCCCTTAATGTCTAGAGGACTTCATACATAGGTCACTTCATAGTAAATCAATCTACCTCCTTCCAAATTCAGTTATGTTCCTTTCTTTCACTTGGCACTAGGGAAACATCAATGCATTCTACTCATCACTGACAGAAGTTTAAGTATAAAAATGACAACTTTCTCATCATATATAGCAGAGAGAGGCTCCTGCAGCCAGCTCTAGCCACAGGGCCAAGTAAACCTGCACTAGCTCCCTGTACTCAAAACCAGCAGGAAAAGATTAGATATACTTAATAATTGAAAATTAGACATTTCCAAATATTTCTGTGGCCAATCTAAACTCACGAATAGGTTAGCAATTACCACTACAAATGTTTGTATCAATAAATATATGTCAAGCGAGTGATGTCAGCAATATGGTGAAGTAAGAGGTCCCAGGTTTCATGCCCCACCACCACCACAGAAAGATCAACTAGCAACTGTCCATAACCAAAAAACACCATGGTGAAAACCCCAAAATGTGGGAATACTGCTGAGTCACCTATGTGTTCCATGGACCTGAATAAAAATTCACATAGAAAAGGTAGAAGAAATGGTTTTGCTTGACCAAGTCACCCCTCTGCAACCCCAAAGTCAGCACATTGCCACAAAGAAAGGATTCTCCAGAGCCCACAGTTTCTACATTGGGTAAAGAGAACCCAAGAGGCAGACATCCAGCTTCCCTAGCATTCTGAGATGCTTCCAGGAAGACCACTGTGTTCTCACCTCAAAGGGAATGGGGAACGTAGGGGGAAATTGCCCAGCTAGACCACCTGGGGTCAGACAGAAACAAAGCAGGGAGTCAGAGCCCACAGAAACAAGTGCACAGATTTTGGTGAAAGCTCAGTGTACTTGCCAGCAGTGGAATTCGATCAGAAGTACCATCTAACAGCATAGCTTACCCACAAAGCCAAGCTAGTCAGTCCCAGAAGAGGTGGAAAGTGCTACCTTGCCAAAATCTCTGGAAAGCCAGGCTTCAGGCCCAGCCTCAGTCCCTACCTGAGGGCCAGGCCCAGAATGAGAGAAGACACACACACACCCCAACAAGGAATTTCTACAACAAGCAGGCATTAGTAATTTTGCCACAACCAAGAGCTTAATCAGTGCTCCCCACTGCCTCAAAGCCCATTTGCAGACCCCACCCTAGGAGGTAGACAACCACTACAGTTAATTTCTACAAGAAGCAGGCACTACCTTCTGCCATACCCAGGAGTTTACTCAGTACTCTCCATGGCCTCAAAACCCAGTACCACACACCACCTAGAAAGGGAAGCAAATCTTAGCTGTACATTTCTACTGAGCATAGCAGTTGGTCCATCCATTCTGATCCACTTAACCTCAGATTGCAACCCTGTCCAACTGCTGAACTCAAACAGCAGTACCTTTTGGCCAGGGAATACACCCTGTGGCCCAGATAAGAGGCAACTGCAGTGCAGAAACAGCAGCTCAGCCTGATAACAGAGCTCAGCCTGATAGCAGAGCCCAGCCAGTGGTCTTAGTGGATAGAAGAGCACAGCCAGCTGCCCTACCCAAATTCAGAGCAAAGGAAAGAGCCCAGCCATACAGAAAATCTGAAATCAAGCTCTGCCTGCCCAGAATCATTATGAGCTGACCCATCCAGAGTTGTAGGCTAAACTAACTAGTGAAGGTTTATCTCTGTCAAAGAAATCTTGTAAAATCCTAAAACAGTGGTTGTCTCCCCAAATGCATAAATACCAACACAAAGATGTGAGGATTAAAAGAACTCAGGAAATCATGACATTTCCATAAGAAACTAACAAAGCTTCAACATTAAATCACCAAAAGGGAGGTATATGAAATGACAGAGAAAGAATGATCCTGAGATAATCTGCTTTTAGAAGTCCAGTGAACTTCAAGAATATATGAATAAAAAATGATTGTTTTCCAAATTTTATTTACACAAACAACATGGGAAGTTTGACAGAAACAGAAATAATAAATAAAAGAAAACAGAAATCTTAGAGATGAAAAATAAAATGATCAAACAGAAAAATATAACAGAAAGGCTCAACAGCCACCTTGGTCAAGCTGAAGAAAGAATCAATGAACTCCAAGACAAAAGATTTGAAATTACCCAATCACAGGAGCAAGCAGGAAAAAAAAAGAATGAAAAAGAATGAAGAAAAGCCTATGAGAATTATAAGACACCATCAAAAGACCTAATCTAGGCATAATAAGCATTCCAGAAAGAGAAAACAAAACAAAAGACAAGAAAGCATATTTAAAGAAATAATGGATGAAAACTTTTCTGATCTGAGGAAAGAAGCCAACATCCAGATACAGACAGCAAAGACATCAACAATAAAATTCAACCCAAAGAAAAGTCCCCCAAGATACATAATACTCAAACTATCAAAAATCAAAGACCAAGAAAAAATTCCAAGAGCAGCAAGAGATAAAAAATAAATCACATACAAAGGAGTCCCAATACAACTATTAGCAGACTTCTCAGCAGAAACCTTGCAGACCAGGAAAGAGAGGGATGATATGCTAAAAGTGCTGAAAGAAAAAAACTGCCAACCACACAAACTTTACCCAGCAAAGCTGCCTTTCAGAAATGAAGGAGAAATAAAAACTTTCCCAGATGAACAAAAAGTAAAGGAGTTCATCAACACTAGGTCTGCTTTACAGGAATTGCTAACTGAAACAAAAGGCTTTTAGTTAACAAAACTTACCAAAGCACAAAGCCTAATGATACAATTACTACAGAGCAATATTCAGCATACTCCAGGATTATATGGCAGTTTGTAAAGTAATTTTATCCCTAGTACAAGGGGTTCAAGGAAAAAATTATTAATAACAACTACAGCTAAAATAAATTGTTAAGGTTTACATATTGCAAAATAGTGTAAATTCAGCCATCAAAAAAGTAAAATTTGTAGGAAAATGAAAGTAGAAGAGTAGAGTTGTTATATGCAAACATAGTTAACCTGTTATGAGTTTGAAATAGACTGTTGCAAGTGTAAGATGTTCTATGTAAGTCTCATGGTAACCAAAAAGTAAAAACCTATAGGAGATACACAGAACAAAAAGATTCAAAATGTATCATTACAGAAAACCATCAAACCACAAAGGAAAACAGCAAGAGAGGTCAAAAGTAACAAACGATATATAAAATAACCAGAAAACAATGATCAAAATGGTACTAGTAAGTTCTTACATATCAATAACTACCTTAAATGTAAATGATTTAAATTCTCTAATTAAATGACATAGAGAGAATGAATGGATAAGAAAAATAAGACACAACCAGAGGCTGTCTAAGAAACTTACTTCACTTTTCTTCAGTGGCTGCCTGGTAGAGGGATTGAACCCTGGACCTTAGTATTATCAGCACCACACTCTAACCAACTAAGCTAACTGGCCAGCCCCTCACTTCACTTCTAAGAACAAACAAAGACTAAAAGTGAAGGGATGGAAAATGATATTGCATACAAATGGAAATCAAAAGAGAGCAGGGGACTGACAAAATAGACTTTAGTCAAAAACTGTAAAAAGAGTCAAAGTCAAACATCATATAATAACAAAGAGGTCAATCATCAAAAGAATATAACAATTGTAAATAAATGTGCAACCAATAGTGGAGAACCTAAATATAAAAGCAAATATTAAAGGGAGAGAGATTGTGATGCACAAATAGTCGGAAACTTTAATACATCACTTTTAATGTTGAACAGATCATCCAAACAGAAAATTAAGGAGGAAATGCCGGACTTAACACTACTGACCTAACATAACTAATAGACATATGCAAAACATTCCACCCCACAACACGAGAATATGCAATCTTCTCAAGCATACACAGAACAGTCTCCAGGATAGAGCATACTTTAGGCCACAAGACAAGTCTTAGCAAATTTTAAAAGATCAAAATCATATCAAATATCTTTTGCAACCACAATGATATGAAACTAGTAATCTATAACACGAGAAATCCCAGAAAATCCACCAACATAAATATTAAACAACACGCTCCTGAGCAACCAATGGGTCAATGAAAAATAATTAAAGGAAAATCTAAAAATATCTTGAGACAGGCCAGGATCACCCTAATACCAAAATCAGACAAAGACAAAAACAACAACAACAAAAACTACAGGCCAATATCCTTGATGAACATAGATGCAAAAACCTTCAACAAAATATTAACAGAATACAACAACAGCACATCAAAAAGCTTATACACCATGATAAAGTGGGATTCATCCCAGGGATGCAAGGTGGTGCAATATATTCAGATCAGTAAATGTGATACACAACATCAACAAAATCAAGAACAAAAAGCATATGATTATCTCAATAGATGCAGAAAAAGCATTTGACAAAATTCAGCATTGCTTCATGATAAAGGCTCTCAGCAAATTAGGTATAGAAGGAAAGTATCTCAACAC